AGACCTCAACTACATTTTACAGATACCTAAGAACTCCCAAAAATATAACAGACCTAAATGCATACTTCACAGCTAAAATTTTAAACTCTTCACCACACCCCCCACAGTATCATAAACAAAAATGAACATAGTTGTAGCTACATGTGCCAAAAAAAAACAAAACTGAATCTTCTTCATGTGGAAACATGTCTTAGATACCCCAAGAAACTCCAAAAAGCATAAAGATAAAGCTAGTAAAAGTCCATATGGAATGAAATTCCACTCAATTAGGCAGTATAATAACTACAAATCAAGCTGCAATTATACATTTATCATTCAAGCACTGAGTCTTGAACACACAAACCTCAATTACAGTTTCCAGATACCTAAGAATTCCCACAGAGAAGAGACCTAATGCCTTCACAGCTAAAATTTAAACTCTTCACGACAGTATCATAGACAAAAATGAACGTAGTTGTAGCTACATGAGCCAAATAGAAAAAAATACTGAAACTCAAACACACAGACCTCAACTACATTTTACAGATACCTAAGAACTCCAAAAACTATAACAGACCTAAATGCATACTTCACAGCTAAAAATTTCAACTCTTCACCACATCCCCACAGTATCATAAACAAAAATGAACATAGTTGTATCTAAAAAAAAAAACTGAATCTACTTCATGTGGAAACATGTCTTAGACCACAAATGGAGATACCCCAAGAAACTCCAAGAGCATACTGATAAATCTAATTAAAGTCCATATGGAATGAAAATTCCACTCAATTAGGCATTATAATAACTACAAATCAAGCTGCAATTATACATTTATCATTCAAGCACTGAGTCTCGAACACACAAACCTCAATTACAGTTTCCAGATACCTAAGAATTCCCAATGAGAACTCCACACTATAACTCAAGCTGCAATTACACAATGTGCTCAGTTACATGTATCATTCAAGCACTGAGTCTCGAACACACAAACCTCAATTACAATTTACCGATACCAAGGAATCCACAAAGAGAAGAGACCTAAATGCCTACTTAACTAAATTTTAAGCTAACAAACACCAAAAGCATAGTGATAACGCTAGTAAAAGTCCAAAGTACCCCAGGCAGTATAATAACTACAAATCAAGCTGCAATTAGACTAAAGCAGACGTATCCATAAACAAGAATGAAATAAATAAAAAACTCACGTAGATATCATTGAGAGCGTATCTCCTCTGTAAATTGTAAAGCACACCCGCCTCGTGTAAGTAAGTCAGTTTCGTCATATCATCCACTCCATTATGCTCCTCCTCATCCGGATCCTTCCGAAACACCTTCTCCGACGAGACCAAAACCTAAAAAAAAAAAACAAATTAAGTGAAGAAGAGAACGAAAACGGAAGCAAGAAGTTAATCAATCAATTAAAACCTGTTTTCCGTTAGAAGTTTCGACGTGAAACTCATTCTCTCCGGGAGAATCGAGCACGTGGCCGGGAATCCAAGCGAAATCGTTATCCTCTACCCAGACTTTGTCGCCCTTCCGAAGATTCGATTCCATCGGAAAGACAATCTCTAGTGAACTCTGTGATGAGAAAACCCTAGAGGATTGGATTGGGCGAAGCAGAGAGGTGTAGAGAGAGAGAGATAAAGAGAGAGAGCGCCAGGTAATTTTTTTGAAATTTCAAAGTGGAATCTGTTGAAAGAGAAACCCTAATAAGGAGAGCGAAGTAGGGTACAGAGAAGAGACGGTAATTTACTGCTGCAAACAGTTTTTTTTTTTGGGTTTAGGACTTTTAAGTCAAACTGCAAAAGCGTAAAAAGTAAATAAAGAATTAAAAAATTAGTTCCCGCCTTCACGGATCGCATTCGCATATAATAAATTCGAAGTTAATATATAATCTTGTTTAATAAAAACTTTGTCAACTAATAGGTTTTTTAATCCGTGGAATTGATTTCAATGATCAGCAAAAAGATTACCACTAATATAGTAAAAGAAACTAGTAAATTTACTGATGGTAAACAAATTTGTTTGCAGCAATTAAAATAAGAGAGAAGATTGAATTTGTTCAACATACCAAAAAAATAAGTTATTTAGGAATTTGCCTTGGAGGAAAATAATAATTGGAGGAGGAGAGAGAATGGGTAAATAGGGTATAAAGCTAAATATGAGGTTTTGTGTGTATATGGAGTGCAAATACTCTAAGAGAGAAATTTTTTTTTCTTTTTTTTTTGTCAGCCGCCCATTTACTCTAAATCAAGTGGTGACCAGTCGAGTCGATTCCCCGAAGAGAAACTCCGTCTGGCCGGGTCTGATCTATATGGGAAAATGTATAGCCTCTACTCCTTGCTTCTTTAGCTAGTGCATCCGCTCTTCCATTTCTACTTCACGGAATATGAGACAGACTCACATCCTCAAAGTCTTCCCGTAGTCGTTGAAACACCTCGATCTCTGTCGCAAAAGCCGGCCAGTTCTCTGGTCTAGTAAACATGTCCACTAGATCCGAACAATCCGTCTCGATCCGTATCGAAATCATCCTCAAATCAGAGAGAAATCAAGATTGTACTATTGAACTCTCACTTACAAATAGAAATAGGGATGAAACCACCGGACTAATGTAGATGAAAATATCATTGATTATTCAATTAATCATAATTCAGTTAATAATATAATAAATTAACAACTACAAGAAGTCATAATATAAAAACTAAACAAATTTCAGATTGAATACTATAAATGTCATCTAATTTAAAACAAAACAATATACTAAAACATCTTGGTATTAATAATGAATAAAATAAATAAATAAAGATCTATTTATTAAGAATTATTAGTATGACATTTTCTTTTCCAATATGAGAATAACATTTTGGATTATTCTTTTCCAAATTTAGCCTATTTTCTTCCTGGATCTGTGAGATATATTTCCATTTGTTGGTCATAATATCATTTTTGTAACATTGTTGTACAGTGTACTTTTTCTTAGACCATTAGGTTTTTCACATTTTTCTCTCTTAATAATGAATCAAACTTAAAATGAATTTGAGCTTTGCTCAAAGTTTTTTTTTCATTTTTCTTTCAGTTATAAATATATCCATTTATCAACTTACTGTTTATTTCTAATAACATATTTTATTTTATAAAATTTGAAACTACACTCACATATTTTAAATTTTGAAACTAAACCTTAACTTAATTAAAATAAGACATTAATTATATTAATACAATCATATAATCACATAAGAAATAATAGTGGAGTTTTATTTAATTAAACAGTACTATTCCTTATTTAAACAATTTGATTTTGTTTTTAGTTTTAGTTTTTGTATTATTTATTAGTTTTCAATATTATTGTTTGTTTTTGCTATATATGTATATTATTATTGGCTTATAAGTTTTATATTAATTGTTTGATTAACTTGTTGTTTATAATTATGTTTCAAATTTTGGTCGGTTTATTTTGAGTAAATTTATTTTGTTATACATAAAATAAACAATTATTATGCAAATAAAAAAGTTCAATATGAAAAACAACAAACTGTTGTTAGTAGTTTTTTCAAATATAATATTCACACTAGGTGATTTTCCCGTGCTCATGCACGGGTATAAATATTTTTAAATTAAATATAGAATAATAATTGATTATTATTTACTTTAATTTTAAATTAATTTATAATTTGTATGCATCATTTATATTAATAGTATTATATTACTTTACTTATACTGTAACTTTATATATGTTATATCTAGTCAATTTTGTTGTTTTACGGTTGTTTTAGTTATCATTTGGATAAATTGGATTGCATCTTGAATTTAACTGTAATATTTTTAAAATATATTAATTCTTAATTAGTTACTTATTTGCATATGGTGGGTGTTGTCTTAGAAATGTAAATATATTTTAGGAAAATTATGTATAACTTAAGATATATTGTGCTTAGAATGAATTAAAATTTAACTAAAGTGTCTGATTCCAAAATACGTAAATTAATATAACAAAAATATTCTAAAGTCTCATGGATATATATAAATTTTACGAAAGAGCTAAAATTGTAAGAGTTGGTTAGTATTTATTTTTATTTGTTAATATGTTTTGAGTTATCATATGATCAATAAAAGTTTACATGCATTTATAAATTCTAAATAACTTTATGCTTTAGATTTATTGAATGTAAACTGAAATTTATTTTAAATAATCTTAAATTGAGAATTCAGATTTGCTTTGATATTTTGATTATCGTTATATTTAGTTTCATAAACATAAAACATAAAATTTAAAACAATTAATATTGATAAAATAAATAATTTTATAATGATAAAATATCATATATCTAGCTCATTAGAACAATTATTTTGACCAAACGATGTTTATTGTTAAATTTATTTTTAGTTTTTAATATCTCTTAAAAATAAGCACTACACAAAATTGTGATTGTATTTGAAAATAATATTATATAAGTAAAATATAAGTTCTAGATAATTTTCTGTAATTGAAAAATATTATAGTCAACTAAATATATGAAAAATAAAAAAACATTCAATAATACTAATTATAAACTATTTTATTACTCTAAAAGTATATTTTATGTTATTTAAAAATATTTTTAAATGTATTATTACTATTTTGTGAACTTTCCTTTTTTTATGAAATTATATTATATATACATATTTTTATGTTATTTAAAAATATTTTTAAATGTATTATTACTATTTTGTCAACTTTCCTTTTTTATGAAATTATATTATATATACATATATTTTCGTTTTAAATTTGTTTTTATGACTATATAAAAATGCCTTTTTATTACATATCTTTTTGGAAATTTTTGAAAAGGAAAAACTAAAAATAAAAGAATTAATAATACTATTTTCAACTATTTTTAATTCATTAAGGGTATCAGTGTAATCAACCATTGTGAGAATGAACGTGAGAGCGACACATAGGAAACTGACTTCTCAAATAATATTATAGAGATTTCATTTTTGTGTATCATTAAGAAAAACGTTTCTCTTATTTTTGATGTTTTCCACATTTTGATGCATCACTTATTCACTAGAAATGCCTTTAATCAAATACAATATTCTCTTACTTATCCTATAGCAAAACAACTCTGAATATTCATGATTTGTTTTTGTTTCGCGAATTTCTTAACTACTCTTGGTAAACTCAAACATTTTTCCATCCCAAACATCACACAACACAACATTGTATAATCTGCATAAAAAGTTATATATAATAAAACATCCATCGCAAAGCCCCTAATCTGCAAGATTAGGACTGCTGAAGACTCGCTTCAAACTCGGACACACTGCTCGGAACCTCGCCATGCTCACAGAGGATATCTGTTAATCACCAAAACATGTTTCAAAACTTGAAATCTATTTTGAATCCATAGATTATATGCTAAATTACTGAAGTAAACACTCCCCTATCATTATTACCTTTGGACAGAAACGGAGATCCAGTGTCTCTAGTGAGCAGCATCCTGATATAGCTGCTTCAACTCCTGCTTCATCCATGTTACAAGACTACCAAACACAAAGGTTGGTATCAAAGTGTGCCCCGTGATAACATATGAACAAGGAGTCAATTCTAGGGGTAAAAAACATTACCTGAAGAAAGAGACTAGCCAATCTTGGACAGACAAGTTTCAGTACTTCCAGAGAGCAACAGTTGCTATGGAATAAAAACACCAATCATTGATGAGAAATTAAAGAATGAAGTCAATTAACAAATTATAAAATCCTCTCTTACCTTAGATTAAGCAACACCAGGTTGGAACAAGCAAGATCAACCTCCTTTAAATTGACCGATAGCGAAAGGTTCAGCGATGATAAATGATAAAACCGAGCTGCAGACGGTATCAACACGTTTCTGATATTGGGACAACCCACACAATTGAGGTTTTGCAGTAACCGGTTGGCTGTTTCAGCTGGTTCTTGAGTGTTCTTCTCACTAGAGCTGTTGACACCGAAGTAATCAAATAGCTCTACATTGGTTGAGCCCCAATCAAGGTCATGCATATTAACACAGCCGTTCAAGCTCAAATGTGTCAAGTGTGTGCAGCACGCAAGTAGATCGTCTATAGCTCTCTGACAGAGACTTCCGTAAGACAGGTCCAACTCTTCAAGTGCCGGTAAAGCACCTTCTTTGTATAGAGGCTCCAGTGATGAGTCAGTGAGATATTTGCAGGCTTGTAATTTGAGTACCTGCACGATAAAATACGCAAAGAATGCATAGGCATAAGGTGTTCTCATGAAAAGAAGTATGATGCCAAGGTCTTAATTACCTTGAGACGAGTACAGGACGTGAAGACAGGCTCCAAATTCATCAAGAAAGTGTAGGACAAATCAAGAACGGTCAGATTTGAGAGACCGTTCAAGGAAGACAAGCCATCAGAGCCAATAGAAGGGCATGACATTAGCACCAGCGACTCAATTAGTGGGCAAGAAGCAGTGGTTGCAGAGAGGCAGTCATCCCTCAGTTGGCTGGAGAGGTAATCATGAAAAAGTGTTTAGCCGAACCATAGAATCAGTCATGAAGATGAAAACATAACAAACAAATGTAAAATTAATTACCCGCAGAAAGATGCATCTAAAGATGTTAACAGAGGACAAACGATGGATGCTTCAGACAATACACCACAGCCTTTCAATTCAAGGGACACCATATAAGGTGCTTCGATATTGAGCACACTCAGTTTCGGACATATTCCTAGATTTAGAGACCGGAGAGCAACCTATTCACAACCAGGAAATACATCAGTTAAGACAAGTTGTGATAATTTAAATGAGAGAAGTACCACTCACAGGCTGGAATAATGCAGTTTCAAGATGATCACATCCATCCAAACAGATCTGCTCTATGCGAGGGCACTTCAACTCAAGAGAAGTAACAGCACGACAGCCAACAAGGGACAGACTAGCCAACGATGAATTGCAGAACCTCACTTCTGTTAAGCTCTACAAGATGATATAAGATTCAGAATCAGTTAAGCAACCATCAAAATATCTTCACTATATAATATTTCATTATGTTATCCTATGTAGCAGATAGCTGTAGCCAAAAGAACAGGAAGAAACGGTATCACACCTCACAGTTGTCAAGAATTAATGATTTCAGCATTGGGCATCCACCATCATCACTAAATATTTCACAAACAGCGTTTGAAAGTGATTCACAGTCAGAGAGATCCACTTCTTGCAAGGACTGGCATTGCAGAACTAATGTTGTCAGATTCTCCTGTTTCTGGAGAGCTAAACGCTGAAACCAAAATGAAGAGATGTTAACGGGTTAATCAGATAAAAAAAAGATTCCTAACTAATGGAACTGTATTAACAACTAAGTGCATACTCGAAGGGAGTTGGAAGTGATTGTCATTCGGCGAAGTGCTGGACAGTTTGAGACAGTGATAGATGAGAGCATGACGCTTTGCAAGTTCAGCTCTGTAAATCTGTTAAGCCCAAAAAAAAAGATGATAGCAAATCTTGTCAAGGCTTTAATACTCATCACAATAAATATGCAGAGCAAACTAAAGATGAGAACTATACTTGCGGCAATGAACTAGGCTTATACTCTGCAAACGGGAGAGATGCAACACGACAGATGTCAACAGATTACAATTATCAAGCTCCAAAACCTGCAATAGATGATATGTGATTAAACTCAAGTGGAGACAGTGATATCAAGTTAAGGGTTGTTGGAAAAACGTGAATCACAGACCTCCAGCTCAGGACTATTACCAATCCAAGTCATGGACGCAGATGTTATACCCTCACAGCTATGAAGCTTGAGAACTGTCAGCATAGGGAGATGTACTGACTTCAAAGAGGAAAAAATCACACAACACAAGTCAGAAAATGAGTAGAGTGGGGGAGGAAAAGCGACATCAGATAACAAGACCAACCTCAAGAGATATATTGGGGCAGTATGAAGCATTAAGAACGTGGAGACCCGCACAAGCCTGGGCTATTTCACGCAAAGTTTCATCACTGACACAGGAACAATTAGAAACATCTAGTGACTCTAATTGAGGACACGAAATGGCAGCTGAACGGATAGCAGCATCCAGGAGCTTATGGCATGAGGCTATATCAAGAAGTTGAAGGAGTGGACAGTTAAGTATCGCCTGTGACATGTTGCTTCTTTTTAATGATAAAGACCTCAGCTGCGGACACCTATAAGATAGAAAAAAATAATAATAACTGAGTATGACATACACAAACGAATAAGAATGAATTTAACTTCACCTGATAGACAAACGCATGACGCGGCATTTTGTAATTTTAAGTTCACGTAGCCGATCATGACTGATGTGAATCTCCTGAGAACCATTTCCGAGAACAGCCTCATTTACAGTCACACTCCTTAACATATTACACTCCCCCAATACCTGGAAAAAGTTCTCACTGATCTGACCTTTTCCTATAGTTAAGACCTCCAGATTGCTGAAACAGACGAAAAGATTGAGATGATAACTTTATTTATAGAATCATATTAGGCTAAACAAGACAGATACCTCAAAGTGGTAGCTGCTTTCATAGCCAGAGCGTTAACAGCAGGAGTGCCATAAACATTCACTTCAGTCGCATTGGGATAGCGAAGACACATGTCTTCAACTGCAATCAAAGGTGTTATTTGACCTATGTATATTAATGACTTACGTTTATCCAGTAGTAAAAATACAAGTTTGAGTGACATAGCGCCTTGGCATATTAATTTTTTTTTGTGCTTATCATAAAATATAGAGAATTAATGCCCCAATGTTACAATTCCAAACAAATGCAAGACTCTGATAAACCCACTATCAACTCTCAAATTCCTTCCAGGTTTAAACAATCAGCAGCAGATTTAGGGTCTGAGTGGTTACAACTGTTTGGGCTGTAGGCTTTTCAAAAAAGTTGTTGTTCAAACCTTAGACTTAAAAAAACTGACTTTTACCTTTAAAAACAGCATAAACCCATAAAATAGTAGCTTTTAGAAAACAATAATGTAGGAAGAAAGAAGTGTAAAAGTGACTGTAGAAGCTTTAGAATTAGTAAAAATCTAAAAATCCAAACTGGCTGTGAAAACTTTACAATTAGATAGGAGTCTAATATGTATGTTACAACCATTTCTAAAAAAACAACTACTTAATTTGTTTTCTTCATAACGTAAAATAACAAATAAGACACATTTAACAAATCAATGAAGAACAACTTACACTGCTCGACAGAAATCATCGTGTTTTCAAAGTTCAAAACCTTCCAGAACTCCTCATGAGAGCTAGCTACTCTCCACTGACGACACACCATAGCAGACCGACATAAGTCGACGTGATTCAAGAACGAGAATACCTGATGAAAAAAAAAAACAAATTAAAAAAAAAAAAAACAAAGAAATTGATACCTACAAAAGTGAAAAAAAAAATACAAAAACAAAGTGTACCATATGCAAGAGGTCATCAGTCAAATCAATATGAACTTCAAAATCTTCCGAGTCAGAAGAAGAACCATTACTACCTCCACCATCATCTCTCTTCCCATCTTTCCGACCATTATAATTCAAAATAAAATTCTGACAAAACATATCCGTATCCGTTGCCCTAGAAGAAGACGCAACCCCAGACGAACCAGCCTCTAAAGATACCCCAGAAGCTGCTGACCTGCACTCACTTCAACTAAACTTCAGCATCAAAATCATAACAATAATAAAAAAAATTAGAGAGGGAGCTCACGTAAGGCCAGTGTACACTTTAGCTCGTTTATGACACGAATCATGATCTGCTTCCTCCATGGTACAATCCACCACACCATTGCTACTCTCTCCTTGAACTAGAGGGTTCGAGGAGGGAGTCACAGATGACCAAAACTGATCCAATTCATCATCGTCCTCCTCCTCCTTGGCGAGTATCTCCTTCAAGGCGGCTATTTCCCTCTCGTTTAGATCGAAATCGGAATCGGAATCTTCTTCGTTGTTGTTATTCATAGCCAATTGTTTCAGTCTATATGCAATCAAAACACCAAACCCTCATGCAATTACACACATACCCCCTTAAAATGGAAGCTTTGGTCTCGATCTAGCGGAATCTGGAGGGAAAGTTACTAAATTGGGAAGGTACAGATTGAATTGAGATGAATTGATTTGGGAGATTAAAAGGTTAACCTAATTTTTTAGATTAGGGTTTGAGAGATGGAGAAGTGAGAATCGGATCAGATCTTGGAGAGAGAGGATTAAAGAGGTGATTAAGATTTCCGGCGATTCGGAAGAGAAAATATCGGCGAAGATGTAAAGAGAATGACGAAAAAGAAATTATTAATCGAAAAAAATAAGTAAAAGACAGCTTTCGGTTTGGTTCCTTGGCTTTCACCGATGTTTTGTTCGGAAATGAGGTTTCGAAACGGTGTCGTTTCGGGTTATGGTCACATGTGCGCGCACGGGAATAAAAAATATTTTTTTTTTTTTTTACTTTTTCAAAAAAAAAAAAAAAAAAAAAAAATTTGGCGAATCATAGCTCGCCACGTGGCGAACCCATGACGAACCGGGTTCACCACGACGAACCCACGCGCGCCGGGTTCATCACTGTTCCTCTCGGAAAACGTGTGAACTCCGCCTTAGAACTCCTAATGCGGATGCTCTAAGACCGTTACTTATAGCTCAGGGCTAGAATGTCGTAGATAGCGAATAGTGAAGCAATACGTTACATGCGTTGAAGACTTGTCCAGGAGTCTTGTTTCTAAAGATATGATTCAAATTTGTATCTTTCAACATCAGTCAATTCATTACGCTTAATATTGATTAAAAAAGAATCGGCTAAAATAGAAACGGATCAAACGGAATATTCATTACATTTATTTTATTTGATTTATTTCTGTTTATTATAGATATTTCGTTTATATTTTGCTGGCATAAATCATTATTATATTTCTAGGGGGTGTTAGTAGGGCTTGGATTTCTAATGAGTTTGTTAATTTTAAAAGTTGAGAGATTTATTAAATTTGGAAATAGTTGAGAAATTTTTGTATATTATGAAAATCTATAAAATAAAGTATTATAATGATTTTAAGAATATAAAGAATATATGTAATATTCTCAAAATTTTGTTTTGTGAATTAAAATGTTAAGAATATAATTCTCAGTAACAATTACTTTAATAGATTTGTAGAATCATTGAAATCTAAAATTTGAAAATAGAGATTAATTTTGTATAGAATTATAAAATCATCAAACCAATAATACTAAACTTTAGTGATAATGTAAAAATCAATAAACACAAGACTTGAAAATTCTAATAATCTTAATAAATTCAATTTTCACTAACACCCCTAAGTTTGTTTATTTTCTATTGTTCTTCTGATATGAATTACCAATCTGAAAATTAATTTTTTTTGTTTAAATACAAGCGAGAGTATTAGTTTTAATGATACTAGAGACAAGTTTTGCCCATTGTTTAATTTAGTCAAAGAAAAACTTTAACAAATTAATAAATAGAAAAAGCCTATTAGATTGTGGAGGAGCACTCTTTGAATGAGGAAAAAGAAATGGCGATGCAGGATAGAAGCCGAATTGAAGGAACCAAGTACTCGCTTTAGAAATAATCAAAGATGCATGAGTACTTCAGTGGCTACCATTAGACAAGTTGCAACCTTCTGATATCTTTTCTGCATACTTAATTTCATTTGGTCTTGTTGATCTTTTGGCGTTTTAAGGCTTCTTCTATAAGTTAAGAACTTTGGGTACCATATTAGTTTATATGTTCATCTCACTTACTACCAAGATAAAAGTATATTCATCACACAATGCAAGTCATGTCATATCTGCATCCATTGTTATCATGTGGGGTATCATTCATTACGTAACGCCTTTATACATGTTTCGTGTCAAAATGTATGAACAAATATCGACCTTTATAACAAAACTTTCAACTTTCACCTCACCTATATATATTCACATTCTATCACCTTCCATTCCAAGCTACACTTTCACTCTTCACCACTTGTTCACTTTAACCAAAACGAAGCAAGAGCCACCACATTTGCGAGCATCAAGCATCATAAAGACCAAACTTAACAGGAGACCCCATATCATGAATCCACGGATCCCCTTGTAAGAACGGTCCAACCGTATATTTCATGGCCTCTTCCTTTTTTATAGCCCTAAATCCAGGCCATTTAACCCTAGAAGCTGTCTTTCCACTTGGACCATTGTTCTTGTACTCCGCGTAAAACAATGTACCAATAGCGAAATCCGTCTCTTGCCATCTCAACCAACCAACAGGATCGATCACATCTTCTATCGTCGACTCCATCACAACTGTTCTAGAATGGTTCTTACACGGCCGACCTAAGTAGCTCTTGAACTTTGCTTTAACAGGTTTAAGATCTTCGTTTGGAGCAATTGTACAGTTCTGAATCACAAATCCTGTTGTTTGAAACTTGTCCACTCGTCCTTGAGATGTTACCGTGTTCTTCTGCCCTTTTACTCCTTTCCTGATAAAGATGTGACAGTTCTGAAATATGGCGGCTGCGTCACCGAATATGAAGTCGATTGTTCCGACAATGACACAACTACGGTAGTATTGTCGGTGTGTGTACGCGTATAATGTGTCTTGGTAGCCTTCGAACCGACAGTTTTGGAAAACTGAACGGTCGGATTCGACACGTATTGCGACCGCTTGGTGCTTGTCAGGTCCAGCAGTGTTCTGGAACCCCATGGAATGTGCCATGAATCCTTCTCCTTGTGCCACTGTAAACACAAATAAGGTTATATTTTGCACTTCATACTTATGTCTCGTTTGTTTGTTTGCGCTTGTTATTACTTATTTTTTTAATATTTATATGAATGTTTTAAAAATTGATTCAATCACTAAAAGAATTATTTATTTATTAAGAGAAATAACGCTTTTAACCGCTTTAATTTTTAAGATTCTAATAGCTAAAAATCACTTCGCAAATAATAATATAGAAAAATATGTTCTGTACAAATCTAATAGTTACAGTCTGTCGATTTTTTTTACGTTAATTTATATAAAGCCTAATTAAATCTTTAACGTGCATGGAAACATAATTTTTTATGTTGCATGTCACGAAAGTAATTCTTGACAAAAAAAACTCAATAAGTTATATATTATTTTCAAGTCAAATAACGAAAATGCATAAATTATAACAATTGAGAGATTAAACCTCTAAGTAATTAGGATATACCAAATGTGGCTGTGCGGAACGTACGGACTTTCTTTGCATGGCTTTTGTTACCCGTCACGATCGTCTTCTGCGATCCATCACCGACCATTGTCACATTAGCTTTCTTCTTGTCAATAATCACAGATTCATCATAAACTCCACTCTTAACATAAATAGTATACCTACAAAAATGAAAAATTTACTAAGCCATAGGCCAAGAATCCATCTTTAAAATTTGAAGCAGAATTATAAAAACGATTAATAATAATACCTTCCTTTGTACTTAGCAGGCATTGCTTTAAGTGCAGCATTAATGGTTGTGAAATTCCCACTACCATCTTTAGCCACTATAGCATTAGGTTTCAAAGCCTTCAGATCAACAGCTTTCAACATTCTCCTCTCCTTGTTGCTTAACCAAGACGATCTTGATTCAAGAAGATGTCTCGTTTTCACCTTTGGACCCGAAGAAAGATATGTATCTAAAGACTTAATCATCGCTAGAGAATTGCTGGTCATCATTTGGGAAGAATTAAAGTTCTTACGTATCTCAGTTTTGAGTTTCCCTTCTTCAAACCCATCGAGACATGTTTCTTGATGCGACATGACTGCGCTTAACCAAGTGTCTAAATCAGGAGCTATTTTCGCAAAGGTTTTAACCTTTGTGTCGTTGATTCTTTTCATAGAGGTGTTAAGTTCTTCCTTTGCTTCATCCACAAGTAACTTGCATTGAGCTATAGCGTCTTTTTCATCTTTGTTCTCTGTTTTGAGTTTCAAAACCTTTTCGAAAACTTTCACTAGATCATCATTTGTTGCTTTGATGGAAGACTTTAAGAGGCTCCTAGGATCAGAGAGAGGAGTAGCTGTCTTTGTCTCGTTTTGAAGAGTTTTCTGACAATTTGGTTTGTAAAGAGTTGAGTTACAAAGTGTTTGGATAATCTTAACGACCTGGCTTGGCTTCGCAGAATGTGCTGCTGCAGATGTTGGTGGTTTCGGGCTTGGACTCGCGGTGCTCTTCTCGGAATGTGCTGCTGCAGATGTTGGTGGTTTCAGGCTTGGACTCGCGGTGCTCTTCTCGGAATGTGCTGCTGCAGATGTTGGTGGTTTGGGGCTTGGACTCGCGGTGCTCTTCTCGGAGCTTTTCGCGTTAGCTTTGTTGTTTGTGTTTGTGGTTTTCACCTTTTCTTGAGATTTGTTTCCATATGTAACATAAGCAAAAGCCCCTCCTGTAATGGCAGCAACGACAACAAGCGTAGAGACAACTCCAATGATGATTTTCTTCCTGAATTTTCGTTTTCTATCTGCGTGTACGCGTTCTTGAATTAAGTCAAAATCTTGAAAAGCCATTTTTTTTGTTTTTGTTTTTGTTTATCTCTCTTCTAATGAAAGAGAGGATCACTTTTATTTTTGTTAGCTTTCTTTGATATTTACTTCTTGAAAAATCAACAAAACTGGTTTGGTCAGGAGAGTTTTGTGGATTGATGCCTATTGTTTGTCATATGAGCCAATCTCACGCCTACTAATTTTAACTTCCTATATAAAACATTAAAATCTATGCGTTGAGACTCATAAGTCAAAACAAGTCCCCAAAATGATTTACCTACTTTGAGCTCATTCGTTTAGTAAAATGACATTTAAAAAGTTTAGTTTTAAAAAGAAACATTAGTTCAAGATAAGTTAGAGAAACGGTGAGAGACAGTGTGATAATATATTACAATTTCATACGCAAAAATATCCATGATTATTTGATTAACTAGCACAAAACTCATCAAAGATGCATATAGTTGCATGGGATTATCAGTCAAAAGACCACTTTAAGTTTTAGAAAATAGAATAATAAGGATAATCATAAAGTTTTATCCATACAAAGTACAAGCAACTTTAATTCTGGTATGTAAGAATTCATCATGACTTTGTACAAAATTTGCAAGTTTTCTTCGGATCATGTTTTATATAATAGATTTAAGAGGCATAACCGATAGTTTAGCCTTATTCTATATAAATTATCTTAAGGTTGTTTTCTTACTTGAATAACCACATGGTCGATAACTACCTTTGAATGCCATAATTTTTGCAATAGTACTTAATTGTAACAAAGTGACCATTAATGATGCTCTAATATACTTGAAAAAACATAGGATATCAAAAGCTAATCACTACCTACTTGATTTGTAGAAAAAAAAACAAAAGAAAAAATCATAAATTATATTTGAGCTTTGTCATGGATTATTACAATGCGCTCAGGCGTACATAGACCAACAGAAAACAGTTTCAATAGTTTTTTTTTATATATAGCTAATATATAGGTTTGGTATTTACTTGAACCCAAAGGCGGCAGAAGAGGTGGCGGTGGCGGGAGAATTCAAGGCGGCGGAAGAGGTGGCGGTGGCGGGAGAATTCAAAGCGGCAGAAGAGGTGGAGCGGTGATTGAGGATGACTTCGACTTGGAAGCAGCAGCCCGCTACATCACCGGAGGATCTGAAGGTGGGGCCAGAGGGAAGGGCAAGAAAAAGAAGTGAGGAAATTACTATCTTGCCCTCTTTATATTTTATGACTTTGGATGTTTTTGTTTGAACTTTGAATTATGCGGTGGTTTTTAATTAAAGACTTTTATCATAATGCATATTTGATCTTTATGAATTTCAGTAGCAATGCATCTATAATATAACCAAATTCATTATAAATATTCACCATCAACACATATTTTTATCGGCATTAGTTGCATATCTAAAGATAGTCACTAAAAATACACTAATCCGAGACTGTATAGGAAGAAGTTGAAAGTGATGCTCTCTCTCTCGCCGTCACGTGTCATGTATTCTCCTTCCTTATGTTTTCTCTTTCTTCTTCCATGATCTTTGAATTGCACAATAATTTAATTAAGCTCCATGATTATTATCACATTTTTAAATTATGTTTTATAAATCACTAAACCAATAACACATGATTTTAGTATATAATAAATACAACTATATTTATTTCTATTTATTTTGGATTTATATTTAGACCGGTAATACTACCATTAACTTGATTCTGAATACAATCTCCATATTGCAAGGAAGAATGTCCATGCCAAAAAACACATTACAGCTTAGTGGTTGTATTACATGAAATGCATGTGAAACTAAAGAAAAGACTAGCAGTTCTCATAGTTTGGTTCAACCAAGGATGGGAAAGATAGGAGCGATGTGGTCCAAGGAAACATTCTCACTATAAGCATTTTTCCTTAGCTCCGGATGGTTAAATTCATTTTCTGGCAAGACGATATTTCCATTTTCTTTCTCCACAGTCCATCCACACTGCTCAATGAACTTGTCAAGAAATGCACCATCCATGTTAACAGCCTATGTAATATGATAAAAACTAGTGAGCAAGCCGGTGAACTTTAGATTACCATGACTGGTGTGGAAAATTAAAGTTATTAAAAAGTGGGAACTTTACATCCAAGGTCCTACAATTTATGAGTTAAGGTTTCATATGGTGAAAAAAGCAGGCCATGTGTCAAGAATAATGATTTAACATTTAATCTTCAATACAAAGAATGAGTTGACTGAAAGAATTACGAGTAAACACATTTGGGTTATACTACTGATTCAAATAACTCAGACTAGTTCAGTTGTCAATGAATCAACACAAAAGCAACAACATTATGAAGTAGAAATGAAGAAGAATACCATTCTTTCGAGAGAATCAAGAAGAGGCAAAGGCTGTCTGGAGTTGGCATAGCCATAAGAGTCTATCACATAAGAGAGTAATATATCATAAGCCAATACTATATACATTGTTTATCTGAAAGTGGTATGCCATACCCTAATCAAGATACGAGACACAACATGAGTGTTCATACGCTCAGGCTCAAACTACACAAAAGACACAACACATCATTAAGCTACGTAGTAACTTGAGATAAACCATAACGAAACCAAACAACAAACAATCCTCAGCTTTGAATGGAAGTCACAAGAGAATGTATTCTTTGTTTACGCAGTTAAAAAAACAACTCTGTTTCTTGCGTTCTTATTGGTGGGATAATGTTTCTTGCTTTGTGATATTCAAGTCCAGTCAGAAAGCATTAACTGAGTGTTGAAACTATGAATTCACCAAAGCTCTGATTCATGTCAACTAGTAGAATATGTGAAATGTACAGTTACATGGGATTACTATGCATTGAGTGTAAAAAAATGAAACTTCTATACAAAATCATTATGCTTACTGTCAATGCACAGTTCGTGATGAATGAAACCCAAAAAATGAAATTAAGAACATTTACATGTAACAATCAAGTGCTGGTCTTCTTTGTTGTTAGTCTTCTTTCTTCAACGAATACGGTTAACATGAGAAAATGGCTCATGTGCTGCTTTTGGAGCTGCTTTTTTAGCCGTCTCTGGTACTCCAAATACATTCCAGAATCTCAAAGTCTCGTCTCCTGCTGCTGAAGCAACTGTACAACCATCTGGACTCTGTAGAAAAAACAGACAAAATAACACAAGTTATAGAGCTAAAAACCTCAAAAACACAAACCACTTTCACCAGCTACAGAAATAGAAATTCACCTGAGCCATATACAGAACTCTTGACGTATGCCCCGTGAGCTCAGCCATTTTCACCATAGACGGGTACTTCCACAAGGTAAGCTGGTTCTGCGTAAACCCATGTGAGCTAAGCAACTCTCTCTCATTCTTACTCCACAACAAAGAACAAACTTGTGAGCCAGTATCAACCGAGTTCAAACAAGCCCCAGTGTGTGTGTTCCAGAACTTAATCGTCCTATCTCCTCCACCACCACCAGTCGCCAACAAATTCGCTTGGAAAGGACACCACGCAAGAGCCTTCACAGCAGATGTATGTTCCTCAAGCCTGTGAAGCCACTGCGTGGTCGAGTTCGACGAGGCCAAAGAGCGATCCCATATATGCACCACATTGTCATTACCACCGCTCGCTAGCTGCTGTCCGGAGCCTGACCACTTAAGCCCACAAACCTCTTGAGTGTGGCCACTGTAAGTCTCCACGATATGTGATCTGATGCGGACATCATTGTTAACAATATTTCCATCCATTCCACCTGTTGTCAAGATGTGATTGTTCCACGCCAATGATCCTACTCTAGACTGGTGACAACCTTTCAATGTCCTCAGCTGCAGATAACAGTAAGGATTAAGACATGATGACACTAACATAACAGAGAGAGGAGATTGTGTAGTTTAATTACTTACTTGACGGTTGGATCCAGAATCCCAAAGCTGGACTTCAGAGTTGTTAAGTCCAACAGCAACATGACGACCATCAGGAGCCCAGTTAATACTCGTGACTGGTCCTTTCTCCTCATCAATAGTCACAAGCTCAGATGTTGAGCCACTAGAAGCATCCCAGAGATAAACAGTGTGTCCCAAAGCAATGGCTAAGACATTAGCACTTCCCCAATCAAGCAAGTTGAGGTAAAAGTCATCAACAATGTCAGGTGCATCTAATGTCCTCTCAGAAGTCTATCATTACAAACATAAAACAAGAGAGATCATTACAACAACAACAAGTAGTCTCTTTGAAGGTCAATGATATATTAAATTTATATTAGGACCCCGGTCAAAAATGTTTCTGGCTCCGCCATTATATATACATATATACCTGAGGAATGTATCTTCTTGGCTTAATGGATTTTGGTTGCTGGTGAAGAGAGGCAGAGTGGTCAGTGGGAAGCAACTCAACGGGTGCTTGAGGTTTGTTTCGGAAGGCGAGGATCCTCGTGTGGTTTAGGTTCATCGTCTCAGCGAGTTGCTTCTTGTATGCTTCTTTAGATGGTGAGCTTACCGTTGCTGTCTGATCTTTACCTTTGTTTCCTTCGGTGAGAGCGAAGTGAGCATAGTCAAAATCCATAGCTGATCTGTTTGGTATGAATCTGTCAAGCTGATGTAATTAAAAAAAAAAAGTAAATCAGTACCAATTCAATTAATATCATCACTTATCTTATGATATATCAAAATAATACATTGAAAGCTATGATCTTTTTAATATGCTAAACTCTCAAATCTAAGTAAAAAGTAAAAAGTAAAAACTCACGTTTTCCTTGGAGTTTTTACGGGGAAGGAAGTGTTCTTGAAGAGGGCAACGAGCTTGAGCCTTTAAGTGCGTAGATGTGTTCATACCTGCATCCATTGTTAACACAAACACACAGAAAAAAAAAAACAACACAAAGAAACAGAGAGCAAAATTTCAATTAAACGAGATTAAATCAAATACGAATTGATTAAAGCAGTAAAATTCGAGCAGGGAGAGCGAAGAGTTGTTCGTTGGGTGATGAGAGCAGAATGATTTGATGGTGAAAGGTGGAGACTTTGGGGTTGATTTATAGTAATATACGAAGCGGGTGGAGTCAAATTAGGGTTTTGTTCTGTTCCCAATTCTCTAGTGGGAAAGTTTGTAACGGCTATATTTCTCAGAGAGACGTTAACATGATTATCATAAACCAAACCAAACCAAACCAAACCAAACCAACTGGTTATCGATGGTTTATAGTAATTACTAAATACTAACTGGTTATCTGTTATACAAAAACCAAACCAGCAGAGAGAGATTTTATTCGGTTTATTATTAAACCAATCGGTTATCAGTGATGAATAGTATTTACTAAATACTATCTGGTTATTTGTTATACAAAAACCGAACGAACTGAGAGAGATTCCACTCACAACAAGAAGATTTGAACATATTTATCTGGAATAAAAAAAAACTGAACATACAAAACCAAAATAAATGAAACTAAAACCTAATCAAACCTCATAGATATCTGAATAGATTTTGGGGACGATTGATTGGTCTATAACTTTATAAATTTACTAATTGTACACTTTTTTTTATGTATATGTTTTTGCTTATTTTTTGCTTAAAAAATAAATATTCTACAACTATTTTTTGCTTTATTTTTAAAAAACTATTTAAAACATGATTGATAATTTATATATTTTTAAATAGAAAATTAAATCTAAAACCACTACTTCCAACCAATCACCAATTTTATCTCTCGTAGCAAGACTCACATCGAACTTAGAACTGAATCAATAACCAAAATTTTTAAATACATATTTCATATTTAAAAATATAAATTATATATAATTTCTAAATAACTAAATGTCCTAAAATGTTATTTATAAACCGAATTACTGAAATATTTAATACTATCTGATTTTTTTATCTAAACAACCCAATTATCTAATATTTAACCAAAAATCTTGAATTTTCCGATATTTTTACTTATATTATCCGAAATTACACCAAAATCAGAATCAAATTGGATCCAATTTTTTTATATATTAACCGATTTCCAACTTTGGTACCCGAATCAAAAACTAAAATAACGAAATTGACCAAATTTTGTAAATAACTGAACTTCTTCAAGGCAAAAGTGATATAGCTAAAAAAAGTGCAATTTTAAGGAGAGAGACTCCGAACGTCATACACCGTTTTCTGTTACCGCCACATGACACTATCTGCATCCTAAAGAAGAGAAACAAAGTTAAAAAAAAGCTAAAATGGAGCAGCAGATGAGTTTTCATATAAATACTGGTCAGGTTGTTCAAATATAAAAACAAACTCTGTCACTCACTCTCTCTCTCTCATCATAACAACCTAACTCTCTCTGTACTGTAACAATGGCTTCGAAGAAGGATGTGCTGAAACACTCCCGTAAGTCTTCATCTTCTCTCTTCGGTGAAAGAGGAGCGTGACTCGGTGGTACCCGACTCAAGAGATAATCGTCTGTTTTATCTCTTTATGTTTTCTCTTTATTACTCTCTTGTTTATAAGATTCGTTTTCCTTTGTATAGGGGAAGAGAAATGTGATTCGGTGGTTGTGGTTCCCGACTCAGTTCATGAGCCGGTTCATTGTATCAATATCGATATTAATGCCGACGAGATCATCTAGCTCATTATTACCAACTGGAGACTGGAGTAAAATTTTACTCTGAAAATTTAAGTTTTACTCTCGTTCCAACTTTTCTACACCAATCAAGTGAAGAAAAATGCACTGGTTTTGATGAAAAGTTAAAAAAGGTAGGTTATGATCGGTAATTTTGGAATGAGTGGGAGAGAAATTTAAAAGTGAAAAGGGTGAAAAATGGGAGAGAGAGGAAAGTGGCGTAAACTGGAGAGAAAAGAAAATGGAATATGTTTTACTCATGAATGTGTTATATTTTCCTCCATTTCAACAGTAATTGGAGTAAATGAAAAATATAATCTTTTCACCTGATTGGTTATTTATGAGCGTAACTAGGAGTAAGCAAGTTTTCTGCTCAAATATTTACTCTAAAAATACCTTTGAGTCACTCATAGAGTAATACCTCTTTTCTCAAAATGTAGCGAGAATGAGATTAACACATTTCCTTTAGCTTTTCATTTATACTTTTATAAGACAACAAAAAAGACAAAAGCCTTTCACCATAAGCAGTATGAGAAAATATTACACACTACAGAAAACAACACAGAGACACTCTTACGTTTAAGCTTTATGTACAAGTTTTCCATCTACACGACAGAGTATGGTAACCATTCTTGCTTGGTTAATTCTCAGATGGTGTCAACCATTGTTGCTACTTTCCCCTTCTGCAGCGCGAAAGATGTAGACATCGAGATGAAACGGCTTAACCTCGGACTTGGCTGGCTCAAACACACAGACATCACCTTCACACAAGTTGTTGCCTCTTACAAAACTCTTCCACCCCGTTGAGATCCCACCACGGCCTTTAGATCCATAATGTTTAAACCTCAAGTGCCATTTTGTTTCACCCACCTGCATCACTACATCCTGAGGTTCACGAGACATGTTCCTCGCGCTCCATTGGACAGGGACATACTGTTTTATTTATGCAAAAAAAAAAGATAAGCATAGGACTTTTAAACTCTCAATAACTAAAAGCTTTTAAGGAGATTAGATACAATTACCAGGAAACACTTTGATACCACATGAGAGCGTTTCATAACCACCAAGAAACCTCTCGGTGATAAGGATCTTTTAGCTAGAGATAAGGCTTTCTTTTTGGTAGTCTCACCTATTCTCTTTCTGCTACCTCCTGAAATCATTTCAACATCTAAAAAAATTGAATAAAGGCTACATATTAGTAACTAGATGGTAGATGCACAGAAAATGACTCATTCCACCTAGTAAACTTTCAAGACAAATGATCTAAAAGGCTTATGGGCTACTCAAGACTCAGTTACTCTAACCTACTATAACAGCAACATTCTGTAAACATGAAACTCTAATCCTAAAGCACTTTGATCAGATGAGTTACTTGGAAACTATAGCAAGGTGTTATCACTAAGTAAGAAAGAAAATTACTCACATACCAGCTTTCTTTTCAAGATCATTGATACTTATTTGACCTCGCATCTTTTTAAAAACGCCAATGGGATACTTCCCTTCACTGATTGGCCCATTACTAGTTGGGGTTATCACAGTAGGCTGGCGAGAGTCTGTGTCAAGGTCAGAGTTAATATGTTCTTCTTGCTCAATACCAGTCTGAGGTAGCATTGTATCAATACCAATGAGATCATCTAGCTCATTATTAGAAACTGGAGATGATATTACAGGTTGCTGCTGGTTCACTGTAGTTTCAGCATCATCAGGGTTGTTAATGTATCTCTTAGGAGATTTTGAAGAGGTTGCAGTGAAACCAGTAGCTCTGCTACTGGTCTTCTCTGCATGTCCACATTTCCTGACGAAATAAGAAGTTGGTTTCTCACATAAAGTGTCTCCATCGAAGATCAGTACTTCAAACTCAGATGATCCGTTGAACTTGAAGACTAATAGATCACTCTCTTGTAGAGAATGATCTTTCACAAAGGTCTCCCAACCACAACGGAAAGCCAGAGTCTTTTCATCATCTTCCTCTAAACCCACGTTGTATTTAGATCCACTAGGACTTTTGAGAGTTACTATCTTAGGTAGCTTCCTTTTGCAAAATGTGGAAAACTTTTTAGGTATGGCCTGAAACCATATTCAAAAAACGATCAAACTCAAATGGTGATTTTTGATGTAAACAGAGGATTCTCATTAGTTTAAATTACTATCATATATGTTGGTTGGTGCTTAAAAGCCTCAAGAACAAAGGCATGATCAGTAACTACTAATAGAAAGGAGACAGAAACTAAGAAGGAGAGTGGTTTTCAAGTTCAACGTACGAGGAGATTGTGAAAGCCAGGAAGGAGGAGCTGAGAGAAATGGATGGTTTGGAAGTGAGTCCAGTAGAGTTGTTCTTCCCATCTCAAGCAATCATCGCAGGTCTCTTCCATCTTCTTCTATTCTTGCCACCGAGCCAATGTGGAGTGGGGTTCTTGAGACTGAATATTTTAAAAGGGTTTTAGTACAAAAGACCACTTTGAGTTTCAGAAAAGAAATAAAATAAATGAATTTTCAAAAAAAGTTATGAAATGTTCAGTGAATCATTTGTTTCTGACACCAGGCGTTTCCATACCAAAACAAGTGGATTGTGTGTCAAGCCACGAGCTTAGTTGAAAATTATCTTTAGATAACAAATGGATTAGACTTGAGTGGGTTTAAGCTGATGTAATATGGTTTACAAATTTAATCCATACAGATAACTTAAAGTTCTGGTATGTAATAACCAAGAGGCTTAATGGTGTGTTAAGAGTGGTAAGAGAGAAAATAAAGATAACTGAAACTGTGTTGAGCTCTTTGGGGAAATGATAATTTTGCAAAATCACGAGAGAAGCTGTTATATTTTTATCAAATTTGAAACTACATACTGTATGTCTCTCATCTTTGTTACTCTTTGATCACCTCCTGCATGTGTTGTGCATAACTTCTTCCTGGTGGAATGAATATTACATCTTCCCAACCTGAATTCTTCTCGCTCCTCTACATTTATTCATTCAATTCACATTTTTTTAGATCACTCATTTTCTGCATTAGTATTTTCTTGAAGTTCTTTAAACAAAAAAAATTATAGTTACCTCCATTTTCCTCAAGACATCTTCCAAACTCCCAACCTGTGAAAGTACAAGAATTTTAGTTCCATGGTGAAGGTAATAAGACTCTTAACATACCAAGGATGTGAGGGTATTTAATCTAAAGTTTTCCCTTTCTCTCGCTGTACTTCCTCTGAAACTATAGTGTTATATATAGAAAGCATATGAATATAGACCATGTAAGCACAATGAATGCTAGAAATCAGTAATGCTGCCAACGCCGCTACTCTCACATTTTAGTCTAACCAAATGTTCTTGTCTCAAGGTGACGAATATAATTACTGGCCCTATCAAATACAAAGGCGAATAGGAATCATTACCATTATTTGCTGATCTCCTCTTGATGCTCTTGTATGCTTTGAAAGTTCCTTCTCTATATCTTCCTGAAAATGGTCACAAGTACGAATTGGTTATCAACAACAGTAAAGCAAAAAATTAACTAGCTCGCCCTTTTTGGCCTTTGAGAAAATTTATTAGAATTGTTTAAATTGCGAGAAGAAATAAACCAACCTTACTGAAATATACAGGGCAGTAACGTTTATTCTTTTTCCTCACAACAAGAAGCTCAGACTGCAGAACATTGACACAAACACAAAAAACACAAGGAATCTTCATAGCCTTTCAGAAGCACAAAGAATGTTTAGCTAATTACTTGTCAATAACATGTAAAGAAGTTTACCTGGAAAACCGGAACTCCATCAAAGCCATTCTTACTACTCGAGGATTTGAGCTGGAACACAAAAAAATGTAGCTTTCGTATAAGACTAAAATGACAAAACAACTAACTAGCAAACAAAAAACCGCAGGAGAACTGTATGATGAAGCTTGTAGAATGAACAAACCTCCAAAGCGTTCTTTATTTGGATAGGATCGGGCAAGAAGCGAAAAGAAATCCCCTCAACTTTTAACAAGTACACCTGTTAACAAAACCTTCCGTAAACTCAACCAACTACAACACATATGAATGTAGTAGCTACGGGAATCACGTTAATACTACATTCAGTGTCAGAAATGTAAGTTCCAGCCTAAATTAGAGAGACGTTATTTCTTGCTACTTATTCCAGAGAGACCCTATTCATCTTTTCTCAAGAACTCAATTACACTATCACCACATTATAAACCAAGTAAATGAACACGAGACACCAACAAGTTAACTGAGACTGAACTCCTAATCACATAAACTCGTAAAGAAACAGAGACATAATCCTGTTTTTTTCAAATGTTCCAATCAAACAATGGCTTGCAAACTGATGTAATGAAGTGATCAAAGGGACATAGAAACAAGTTAACTGAGTCTGAACTCCTAATCACACAAACTCGTAAAGAAACAGAGACATAGTCCTGTTTTTTTCAAATGTTCCAAGTCGAACAATGACTTCTACACTGATGTAATGAAAGTGATCAAAGGGACATAGAAACTACCTGGTCGAGAGTAATGGGAACAACCTTAGCATTAGCTTTCAACTCTCTTCTCCTGAGCCGCGCCTGAAAAAATGATTATCAGAGAATCAAAACCTCATAAAGTCAGAAACTTTCAATCTCGGGAAACTACCAAAAGGCCAAAAAAGAAACCTGAGCAAGAAAAGCTTCGGCATCTTCTTGTCGGAAACAGAGCAACCCAATAGACTTGTCTCCTGTAGGGTCCGAGATGAGAACGAACTCGTTGTTGGTGTTGCTGACTGTGAACACGGACGTTCCAGTGAGGGATTTAGCTACGTGAGATGAGTTTAAGGTTGAAGTGGTGGAAGAAGGATTTGAGGAGTGTGAGACAGAGGCGAAGGGAGGAAGAGGAGAGAAGCGTCGTTTGGTGTCTTCGAAACGGGAAGAGAGGTCGGAGGCGAAGCGGTTACAGTGAGTGTGGAGGAAAGATGAGAAAGAGAGGAAAGGGTTTGGTTTTAGTGATGGTTCCATTTTTTTTTTTTTTTGGATTTGCAGAAGAAGGAAGAAGAGAGAAGAGGAAGCTTTTGTTACTGTGTAGGAGAAAGAGTGAAGAAGGGAGTAGCTTATGGGCTTAGTTTGGGCCTGACTCTTTTATTGGGCCTCGTACCTAGGCCTGTGAGTTCGGTTTGGAATAATTCAATTTTGGGTTGAGGATCTATTTCCTAACGGAAAGTATCGTATAACACCAAATATCCATAGAACTATGACCATATTCTATTTACTTTCGTGAATAAAGCCCACAACATATTTCTCCACTAAATTTGGTTTAGTTATGATTTTTGAAAACTGAATTTCAAATCTCCACTCTAATATAATAAAACGAAACAAAACTAAACCAAGACAAAATTAGAAACCCGATCAAACCCTGATCTGGATCAGAACATTAACCCGATCCAACAACCGAACTTAAAAATATCCGACTGATTGAATCTTAATCCAATTAGTCATTAGATTAACATGGTCTATGGTTTATTTACAAATAGTAAACCAATAAAAGTCGATTTTGTGGGTTTTTAGATTTCGATCTTTATAATTGTGGGGAAATATCTATACAACTTTAATTTGGTATGGAAATATAGCTCAGATTTTATTTTCGGAGGTAAATAGAACGGGGTCATAGTTCTGTGGACATCTGATGCTATACAATATTTCTCGTGGGAAATAGATCGTCGATCCTTCAATTTTTGATTAGTTCAGTTCGGTTCACATAAAATATTATCTAATTGAACCAAACACAAATTCCATTCTGTTGTCGGCTAATTCAGTTTGGTTAATTTCTGCAGGGATTACTAGTAACCACTATCCTTTCCAACTTCTTCACCACTCTAAACACATGAGTAGCAAAAAAGCTAATTAGTCATTTGAAATACATGTAGATGACAACTTTCCCCCAAATTCTCCAAAAAAAAAAGTATAATAAAGCAAGCAACACATCGAGAAAACACACATCAAACAATATTTTCAAAACTCAAAGAGATGATGGTGAATATTACTTCTAAAACATATACCATGTTACTGTTAGTGATTACACTTCTAATGGTCTTTGCATACCATAAGGGAGAAGCCATACAATGTTCCCAGGTGCACATGTACTTAGCACCATGTTTACCTTATCTAACTGCTGGAGGAATCCCGTCTCAACAGTGTTGTGGCGGGCTTAATAATCTGAAAGCTGCTGTGCCTGGGAAAGCTGATCAACAAACAGCTTGTCAATGCTTGAAGAGTGTAGCTAAAACAATCCCTGGAATCAATGATGACAATGCTAAGCAACTACCTGCTAAATGTAATATTGACATAGGGATCCCTTTCTCTCAGAGCGTGGACTGTAACAGGTAATACTCCTTTATTGCAATGGTTACACATCAAGCCTCTACGTACCTAAATAATCCTCTAATTCATCTTTATTTGGTTTCTTTTGAGCAGCATAAAATGAAAAGAGGACTATGTAACCAACGGCCATGCAGCTTATAAATAAGAGGATGTCTTGAAAGAGGAAATGCATTATGAAGAAATCAATTGGATACTTTTTAACATTAATCTTCTGATAATATACTTTATTCATGTAATAATCATATAGTTCTTGGCAAATAAAAATGTAAAATGGCAAATAAAAATGTAAAATTTTCACATTTAAAGTTTTTTTCTTCCTACTGATCAGTCACACTACAAAGAGTGTGTGCCAAAATTCATGACCTTTCCAAGGAAATGACTTATGAGCTTTTATTAGATAGGGAGATACATAATCCAGTTGAATAACTCTTACAGAACTTGAGTTAGTAAAATCTGATTTAAAACATTTCACAAAGCTTTGAACAAACATCAAATCCAATGAAAACATATTTTATTTATGTGGGAAATTTTAGTTTCAGTATTGAATGAGTCCCAAATCCTTCAACCAAGTTAGTATCTCCTCAAGACCTTCTCTTAGACTTCGAGGGTTATAACCAAGTTCCATCTTAGCCTTGTCACATGAGTATGCCCATTGATGTCTCAGCACATTCACTGACTGCTCATTCACAAAACAAACATTAAAACTTAAGATATATCAATCCAAATGACTAATGAATGTAACACTGAAACTCACCGGAGGACTGATTACTGGAAGCTTTCCTGTAATCCGAGAGACTAGAACAGATAACCATCCGTATGCATTGATAGCCCATAAGGGAATGCTAAAGCTTGGTTTCTTGGTTCCAGTAATGAGTGCAGCCATGTCAAAGACAAGCTTAAAAGAAGCATTTTCACCGGTGAGCAAGTATCTTTCCCCAAGCCTACCTTTCTCCATTGCAGCAATATGACCATCCACAACATCATCAACATGGCTGAAGGAGCATCTATCATTCCCGGAGCCGATGTATCCAGGTAATCTCCCATTAAAACGCTCGATCATCTGAAAGGACAACATTTGCAGATAGATACTCTCACTAACTATGCAAGACTTGACCCATATAAGAAAAACAATTAGGAACGACAATTTACTATCCAGTTCAGATCTTGAAAGATAGATACTTCCACCTAAGAAACTAAAATAAAACAAAATGCATTTCTTTATATATGAAGCATGTGTAGATAAATTTGTAAAACAGAAGATTAACTTCATGGTATAAGTAAGAAATGAAGTGCATTTCTATTACATCAGATCATGTAGAAATCACTAATGTTCAGTTAACAGATGAGTAAATAATTGTCTTCAAAATTAATCCTTAGTTTGTTTCTACTCAATGTTCTGAGACTTATCACTTCATCATTCAACCAATGTATCTCTAACCAGCAAAAAGATACATCTAACGCATCAAGAAGGAGACAGAGAACCATACCAATTTAGCAACCATATTGCCTGAAGTAAGCTTCCCCGGACCATAAATAACACCAGGATACAACAAAACTATCGGCACACCTTCACTCGCAGCATTCATAGCAATCTTATCAGCAGTAGCCTTTGATCTCTCATACTCCGTACAGAAAAACCTCTCACTATGAACCTTTCAACTCAAAACACCATATCAATTTCAGAACCAAACCAAAACAAAACACAACAAAACAAACTAAACATATTACCAACGTCGAGTTGGCCTAGTGGTAAAAAAGGGTTACCGCTGTAATTTCCACCACTTGGGTTCAATCGCGGTGAGAGAAACTATTTAATAAATATAAACAAAACAAACTGAACATAATAACATCATACTTGATTCTCATCAGCAACATATCCATCAGTAGACCCAACAAAACAAACTGAACATACTACCAACGTCGAGTTGGCCTAGTGGTAAAAGGGTTATAGATGTGATTTCCACCGCTTGGGTTCAATTCGCGGTGGAAGAGACTATTTAAGCAAGAAAAACAAAACAAACTGAGACATAACATCATACTTGATTCTCATCAGCAACAGATCCATCAGTAGACCCAAGCGCGAAGAAAGAAGACGTATATACAACTCTCTGGACACTCTTTGTCTCCTTAACTGCTCTCAACACATTCTTAAGTCCACCAACGTTGACCTAAGCTTCAAGAAACCAAACCATTATGATCTTTAAGACCTAAAGAATGGTAAAGAAACGGTTTACCGTTACGAACTGTGATGGATCAGGAAGCCAAGGCTCGACCAAAGCCGCGGCGTGGAAAACGATGTCGCAGCCTGAGCAAGCTTCCGTTAAAGAAGTGTAGTCCGTTACGTCACCGTAAGCTAGCTCGAAGGATTCGGTTACTTGAGGTAGGGAGGAGACGTCGCTTGTGCGGCGGACTAAGGCGCGTACGGAGTGGTTGTGACGGAGGAGAGCGTGGCAGAGTCGTGCGCCTAAGTAACCAGAAGAGCCGGTGACTAATATTTTCATACTTTTTTTTATTTTCCAGCGAAATTATTTGTTTACCTGATGGGACAGAGATTACTGTAGATTTTTGAGTATATATATAATTTTCTTTAATTAGGTGATACAAAAGACGGTTTTATCCTTCCTAGTACAGAGCTTTTGCCAAGGGATGGAAACCAAATCGACCCAACCGAACTTAAACCGATCCAAATCGAACCGAAGTATATGTATAAATCATTTGGTCCAAGATTTGATCAACCGAATGGTTCGGTTTGGTTTTAAAATGTATAAAATATAATTTAGATTAAGTAAATATAGTAATAATATTAGAGTTAATATATTTAACCATTTAACCTAAATAACTAATAATTTTATACATTTTAATTCTAAATGAATAGAATAAATACAACTAAAAAATACGAATCTATACATTAACATAAAAATCGAATACTTTTATGATTTTATATTAATTTGAAATAATAATAATATAAAATTATTGGGGTACATCATCTACATATTTATTGTGATATTTGGTTTTAAAAACAATAATTTAGTGTCAAATGATGATTTGTTAATATTTTATAAATTATATTTTTGTAATTGAACTAGTACAAAACTAAAAAATCAACTGGATTAAATTAAAAAATACAAACAAAATCATATTAAATCTAATAAAACACAAATCAAGTTGAACTAAAACCATACCGAACACAAACAAAACCAAACACAAACCAAATCAAACTAAAACCGAACCAAACTAAATATGGTCGAGTTCAAAATAAGGGGTAAATCAGCCATTTAAAGTACAAGTTGATTTGCATTAACTACTCAACCATTTCGCTGTCCGGTAAGACCGGTCTTTTATAGAGAATAAATACTCTTGCACATGTTACTTTGATTAGTTAGCGATGTACTTAACTAAACAAGTTTGTGTTAATTACACAACCGCTTTACACTGCTTGCTGTTTGGTAAAAATGATCGTTTTATTTGAGTCTTGAGAGCCAAATCTTGCGATTAAAGCAAAAGTGTAGAAGCTTGAATTCACCACCAAAACAGAGTGAGAGATAGAGGGGGAGAGTGGACCAACCAAATCTTCTCTGTAATCTGCATATATATATTTATGGTCATTGATAATTGATGCATTTATATGGTTCCATGATGGAAAGATATGGAGCTTCTCTGTGAAGTGGGATCTCTCTCCACACTTGTGAATTGATAAGGGAGAGAGAGTGGAGACACTAAAAGAGAGGAATGGGACTCAAAAAAGACTCTTAACTGATGCATTTATTATATGATGCCGTGATGAAAAAAAAACCTGAAGCCTCTTTGTGAACTGGTGTCTTTTTGAGTTGATAGGGGAGAAAGTGGAGAAACTGGAAGAGGAATGAGACTAAAAAAAACCTGAATTCTATGAACAAGGCTTGATTGCCTGACAACTAAAGAGAAAAGGGGGTGGGGAGTGGGAAAGATGGAAGGAGAAAATGATGATAATAGGTTTGATGAGAAGATTCCATTGCAAAGCTATCTATAGACATAGCCTTTGTCTGCTGGTTCTGACAGTGAATCTTTGATCTTGTAATAGCAGAGCCAGGTTGTATGCAACAGAGAGATATAAGTTAACAGAACATATCCATTACGGTTAGTTAGGCTCAAATATCTATATCCGGTAAATATGTTAAAAACATCACATTATACTTCTGTAATTTAATAATGAATGAACCATAGGAAACAAAGCTAAAACTGGAGAGGTTCATCATTCATCACACATCTCTCTTACTAATTATAGACTTTTGAATTGTATACCTCTCTTTACTTTTTCTAGAGATCTTCTTAATCATAAAATATCATTAACTCTTCTCTGCTTTCTTCATTTTTTTTTCCTCTCTATTGATTGTTTCTTTAACCGTTTCTCTTGTTAAAGTTTTGCCTTTCTAGCTTCCTCCAATGGAAGGTTTGAAAGTAACAAAAGCAGTAGAAGAACCTAGTGTGACATCAAATGTTAATTACCATGTTGAAAGTATAAAGCCTGAGTTGGAGCAACCTCAAGCAATGCAACAATCTCAAGCCAATGAAGATTTAAATGAACATGGGAATGTTTATATGGATGACACTTTTTCCCCCTCTAGTTTATCAAGCAGCCAAGAAGAAGAAGAAACACAAGATTCATCATCTTCTTATTACACTACTCCTGTGTTTGTTCCTGATAATTGCCTACCTCCGGTGAAGACTAAGTATGGATCAGAGGGTACCACAACAAGAAATGGAGTTTCTTCAAGATCTATTTCTTCACAAAGAAGCCTTGGATCATCACCATTGAGCAATGAAACACCTAAAAGTCAGGATTCTTACAGTGATTCCATTGACACAACATCACCTATTGAATCTGTTAAAGAAGCTGTCTCAAAATTTGGAGGAATCACTGACTGGAAAGCACATAGAATGGAAGTAGTAGAGGTAATGTTTATGATTTGTTGTTAGTACCTTATATTGGCCAACGCTTGTGCTCACTATCTTTTTTTTTATTGCAGAAACGCAAGTTTGTGGAACAAGAACTCAAAGAGATTGAAGAGAAGATTCCTGAGTACAAGAAACAATCAGAGACTGTTGAGATGTCAAAACTGCTAACGGTTGAGGAGTTAGAGAGCACAAAGAGACTCATAGAAGAGTTGAAGCTTAATCTTGACAAGGCGGAAACCGAAGAAAGGCAAGCAAAGCAGGACTCTGAGCTTGCAAAGATGAGAGTTGAGGAGATGGAACAAGGAGTAGCTGGTGAAGGTAGTGTTGCAGCTAAGGCACAACTTGAAGTAGCTAAAGCTAGACACACATCTGCTATTTCAGAACTGGAATCTGTCAAGGAAGAGATACACACTCTGCAGAAGGAGTATGAAGATTTGGAGAAGGAGAAAGATTTGGCTGTGAAGGAAGCAGAAGAAGCAGTTTTGGGTGCTAAAGAAGTTGAGAAGAAAGTTGAAGAGATGACTATAGAGTTGATAGCTACAAAGGAGTCACTAGAATGTGCACATTCTTCTCATTTAGAAGCAGAAGAAGAACTTCAAAGACTTAAGCAACATATAGTTTCAACAGATGCTGCTTCTGCAAAGAAGGAGCTAGAAGAAGTCACTGAGAGTATTGAGAAAGTAACATCTGAAGTAAAATGCTTGAAGGTAGCATCATCATCTTTGAAACTGGAACTTGAGAAAGAGAAAACAGCACTTGAATCAATCAAACAAAGAGAAGGGATGGCATCAGTAGCAGTTGCATCTCTAGAAGCTGAGATAGACATTAAAAAATTCGAGATAGCTCTTGCTGAGTCCAAGGAAAAAGAAGTCAGAGAGGAGATGGTGGAGCTACCAAAGCAGCTGAAGCAAGCAACACAAGAGGCTAATGAAGCGAAAACATTCGCTGAACTCGCTCGTGAAGAGCTGAGGAAGTCTCAAGAAGAAGCAGAGCAAGCAAAGGCTGGAGCAAGTGCAATGGAGAGAAGACTACTTGCAGCTCAGAGAGAAATTGAAGGTATCAAAGCTTCAGAGAGGTTTGCATTAGCTGCTATCAAGGCATTGCAAGAGAGTGAGTCTTCTTTGAAGGAAGAGAATGTTGACTCTCCGAGAAGTGTAACACTGACGTTAGAGGAGTACTATGAGCTAAGCAAGGGTGCTCATGAGGCAGAAGAAGAAGTCAACGCAAAGGTTGCAGCAGCGGTTTGTGAGATTGAGGAAGCTAAAGAAAGAGAGAAGAGAAGCTTGGAGAAGTTGGAAGAAGTGAACAGAGAGATGGTTTTGAGAAAGGAAAGACTTGGAGAAGTAACTGAGAAGGCAGAGAAGGCTAAAGAAGGGAAGTTAGGTGTGGAACAAGAGCTGAGAAAATGGAGGGAAGAGCACAAAGTAAAGAGAATAGAGAAAAGTCATGAAAGAAGTTTAGAAAGTTCAAAGGAAAAAGAGAAAGAGTGTGATGGAACTGAAACAAACTCAATCTCAAAGGAGAAAGAAAAGGAGTCTAATGCAACTGAAACAGAGCCAATCCCACAAGTGAATCCTGTAAAGAAGAAGAAGAAGTTTTTCCCAAGATTTTTTATGTTCTTGATGAGGAGGAAGAAGAAGTCAACTAATTGATGAGTTTGAGTTGATTATGGAAAATTATATAAACGTTTTATTATATAGTATAAAACAAATCTTCAGTTTTGGATAAGCTTTTCTTCATGATACTATCTTCCAACATAGCTTCTTTTCTTTCCAAGTGAAAACTAAAATATGACCAACTTAAAAGTCAAAGTCACACCAAAGTAGTTTTGTTTTACCAACCTTATAAGTGAATAGGGTACATATAACAATCAGATATGTATCCATTTCCCATAGAAAGTAGCATCTACATGAGTTACAGGCGCAGCAAGTCACATCTGCTTTCCGTGCACTTAACTACTCCAAAGAGATGGAGAGAAACCGTAACTTCTCAGAAGCTTCCATCACACTAGACACCTCACAAGCCTTAATGATCCCTGTAATAAGCTCTTGCAGTTTACTTCTCATGTTCTACCTCTTCCCCTCTGCCTCTCAGCTCCTCACCGCCTTCACAGCAGTTGCATCCCTCTCCTCTCTCTTCTTTTGCCTCTCACCTTATGCTCTGTATCTCAACTCCTACCTTGGTTTATCTGATCCTTTTCTCACACGTTGCTGCTCAAAGTCTTTCACAAGGATGCAAGGGTTGTTGTTGTTGTGTTGTGGTGTGACTGTTTTTGGCGTGGCTTGTCTCTGGTCATTGGGTGTTGAATAATATGCTTGGGGTCTCTATTTGTGTTGCGTTCGTTAGTCATGTTCGGCTTCCTAATATCAAGACATGTGCGATGCTTCTTGTGTGTTTGTTTGTGTATGATATCTTCTGGGTTTTCTTCTCTGAGAGGTTCTTTGGTGCTAATGTTATGGTCTCTGTGGCTACTCAGCAAGCGTCTAACCCGGTTCATACAGTAGCTAACAGTTTGAATCTTCTTGGAGTGGAACTGATCACAGAAGTATTATATCTCATTTTATTGCATTATATACCTTACATACAGGAAACAGCTATAATTTTAAAGGAATTATAACATTTAAGTTCTTAAGTGTATTACCATATTTTTAGGACAAATCAATTGCATAATAAAAAAAATTAAATTAGTGTTTCATTTAAAAGTAAGCAAAACTCTTAAGTGTTATACATATTCAAACTTTGTAGTATAATCAATGGCCTTCCTAGTCATCCTACGTATACTAGTTGAGGAGACACAATGGCCAAAGCTAACAAAAATAATGAGGAAAATTTGAAAAAAAAAAAAAATACATTTTCAATGCAGACCCTGCACTATGTAGAAGTGTATATTATGCCAAAAGTATTTTCAGATTTAGCAAAAAAACATAAAAACATTCTCGGGTCAACTCTGCTCTTGTCCTTACCTGATAAGGAGGTGGAACAATGTAGCACTACAACATTCCGCGTCGAAAGCACTCAGTTATAAAGTGAAAAACGTCATGCGATTACATTAAAAATAGCAAACTCTCTTGTCCGTTTCCATGGATGTCTGCTAGCTAATGGAAGCCAGCTACATGTGTCTTGCTTTCTCCATTGACTTTTGTTTCTTGGACTTCACTTCAATCATACATGCATCTAATTAATTAGTTTTGCATATGTTAATCACTAGTGGCTAATCAAACCGCCCTTATCTTACTCAGCACTGATCGATAGTCAAAATTCGACATTTTATATCCAAAAACAAGTTCGAGATTGGTTCCTTCTTAATAGCTAGCTATAATATTTTATGAGAACACCGCCAATATTTCTAGAAGATCAACATCAAACCTAGGAAAATCCACAAATACTTTTTTTTTATAACCGTGGGGCATCCCAGACGGTAATCCAGACTAATCCCTACAAGACCTTCCATCCGGGCACGCACGGTTATAGGCGGGAAGGTGACCAAAGCGACTAATATTGCCCGATTAAGTTTGTGTTAATAACCATTGACCCATAAACTTAACACCAGAACTAAAATTCTTTGTTATCTGCTTTGTAGTGGAATACACATTCATGATTCATATTAAAATACAAATACAAGTTTTCGTTTTAAATAGTATAGCTTGTTAGAAATGGTCTTATGTGGACAAAGCGAATTCAAGTTTTGGCAAAGTAAATAAATGGTCGTATGAGTCAACACAACGTGCCACTTTCCATGCAATAACATGCAGATTAGGCCAGCCATTAAGAATAAAGTAAGTTGAATTTTCACTGTGATAAGATAAAACGGGAAGGCACAATAGAGCACTATCCCATCATGGGACCATTACACAATTATATAATTTGAGTTTGTATGGTCCATGCTCTAACCACTCCAATATCATGGAGCGTCTCTAAGTGCGAGTCCATACTATATATAAGGGATAAGCGATACACAAGCTTGTAAACTTAACATCCTACTAAAACAAAACAAGAAAAAGCTTAAAAACAATTAAGGTGGTGGGATCATTTAAGATAATAAATAATAAGATGGTTAGGGCAAGTTTATTGAGAGTGATTATGCTGATGCATGCAATTATTGGTCTTCCTTATACTGTGTTGGGTTTAAGTATGAGTTACTACATGATGAGCTGCCCTGCCGCAGAACAGATTGTGACGAATACTGTTAACAATGCTCTTCGAGCTGATCCTACTTTGGCCGCAGGTCTTATCCGTATGTTCTTCCACGACTGTTTCATTGAGGTAACGTTTCATCGTTTTAAAATTGTGTGTTTCTTAGTAAATTTTTTTTTTTTTGGTGTGTTTCTATGCACGTAGAACCAGTGCCATCAATTTTAGAGGCTATAAATATTTATTAAGAACTTCAATAAGTTAATAATTTGAAAGTATATATCTATGTAAATTATTTTTAAAATTTAGGAATCAAAACTAATGTCTTAGTTTTGAAAAACTAAGTTATCTTTTTTTTTGCTTGTCCTATTAAGGGATGTGATGCGTCGATTCTGCTAGACTCAACAAAAGACAACACTGCAGAAAAGGATTCACCAGCGAATCTAAGTCTACGTGGCTACGAGATTATAGATGATGCAAAAGCAAAAATCGAGGCTGCATGTCCAGGAGTTGTATCTTGTGCAGATATTATTGCCATGGCTGCTAGAGATGCTGTATTTTCAGTAAGCTGATCATTTTTGTGATTATGTAGATTATGATGATTATTTTTATACTTTAATTAGAATTACTAATTTGCTTGTTAATTTTAGGCTCGAGGTCCATATTATCAAATACCAAAAGGAAGATTTGATGGTAAAAGATCAAAGATAGAAGATACAAGGAATCTTCCTTCACCTTTTCTCAATGCTTCTCAACTCATTCAGACTTTTGGTCAACGTGGCTTCACTCCACAAGATGTTGTTGCTCTCTCTGGTTAGTTGTTTATTTACAAACACACTTTGAGTTCCATTCTTGTGTACATCTATTTTAAAATATTAAATATCAATTTGTTAAAACAAAAAAAAATCAATTATCTTGTTTTACTGATTTAACAGTTACTCTTTTTAACCTATTTAAATTTATTGTAATTCATTGGAAAATGTAATTTGTGTAGCATATATAACATTATTTCATGGGTTTTAAGTTTTAACTTTTTTTTTTTGAAACTAAACGAAATCATCAGTTTTAAGAACATGATTATCCCGGGTTTCTTAGAGCGGGTTCTCTTAACTAAAAAGTTAAGAAACTGTTTCTTAAAATAATATTTTAGTTAAAAGTTAAAAATAGTTTCTTATATTTCTCTAAGAAACTCGGAATAATCATGGTCTAAGTTTATCTGTGAACTATGTATAGGAGCACATACTCTTGGAGTTGCACGATGCTCATCCTTCAAAGACAGACTTACCACACCAGATTCTTCAATGGACTCTTCCTTTGTAAACACTCTCACTAAAACTTGCAGTGCCGGTGACAATGCAGAGCAACCATTTGATGTCACGCGCAACAACTTCGACAATGCTTATTTCAATGCCCTTCAGAGGAAATCAGGAGTCCTCTTTTCAGACCAAACCTTATTCAACACTCCAGCGACTAAGAATATTGTTAATGGCTATGCCTTTAACCAAGCCAAGTTTTTCTTTGATTTCCAAATGGCCATGCAAAAGATGAGCAATCTTGATGTCAAACTTGCCTCTCAAGGTGAAGTCCGTAAAAACTGTCGCGTTCTTAACTAAGCATATGCCAAATGTATTTATGATATTTGTGTATTAGTGTTCCTACCTTTAGTTATATCTCTACTACGTACTCTCATCATATGATTCTTGATGAATCTGTTGTGCTACCATGTATAAAATTGGTGTCTGTAATATGTAACTGTGTACTTGTTGTTTGTGTGATTTTGAATAATATTAATTATCTATAAAAATTTGGTCGAGGCTCTATTGTATACCTCACCGTATTTGATCGTTGCCTCTATTCATGGGGCAAAGCGACAGTCTTCTTGTTTGTCTTTACAATATCTATAAATCACAAGACAACATCTAAGACTATCTCCAACGGTAACCTTAAAAAACTGTTTTTTTAGTTTTTAATTATTTTTTTGTTTTTTTTCAGATTTTTTTTAAAAAAGTTATAAATTAATTGTGGGTCGCCACGTGTTGTGGGGACCCGCAAACCGTGTAAGGATTCACTAAAAACAGTCTTTATTTTAGGGATTTTAAAGATCGAATTCTTAACTTTTTATAGGATCCACTGATTATTTAATTATTTTTTAAAAAAAATTCCCCGGACTTCCGTTGGAGATGTTCTAACCGGTCTAAAATGTCCAAAATAATATGTTAAATATGATCCAACACGTTGGTTTGTCCAGTTACAAATTATTTGGCTAATATTAAACCATTTGAAACATACTATATAGGTAATTAAGTTGTGAACTAATTAAGGATTAATAGATTTGAGGAGAAATTAGTTTGTAACTTTTTTATTCAGAGATGTGATACAAAAGCATAGTTCAATAAGAATATGATAATCTTTGTGGAGAAATAGATCCTCAGAACAATCCTCAAGAAGTAACTTTTAGTCATGTTTTGGGTATTTAGCTTTCAACAACATTCAAATCCCTATCATATAAAGCTTACAAACCAAATCTGAATCCTCCTGGATTTACTCAATAACCACAACATGGAGCAGCAGAAACTAAAAAACCTTCAATAAATACAGAAGTATAAAAATAAAGACAATGAAAGCATTTGTGTTATGAATCTTATATTATCTTGGACCAGATGGGTATTCGTTTTCAATATGGGAAGTGGAATCACCTATAAGCCAGGAAGTGTTTGGTTGATTATAGTTTTGGTAGTTGAAATCTTGTCTGAACATTTCCTCCTTTTGCCACTCTTCCCATCTCTCAGCTAAACCATCTCCTTCAAGCATTCTCACAACATCAGACATTTTGGGTCTTTCCACTGGTGAGCTCTGAGTGCAAAGCAGAGCCACTTGGATCAGCTTCTCCACTTCTTCGTCTATGTAATTACCCTGAAGATCAACATCTACTAACGCTTCCAGTTTCTTCTCTTTCAACAACCCTTTCACCTGTTGAATAGTACCAAACAAACACATAACTAACAGAACATAAAACCAACACTAGATCAGATGAGTAACAAACATACATACCCAGTCTAGTAACATGACATCATCATCATTGGCTAGGCGAGCAAGATCAAAAGCTCTTTGTCCAGTAATAAGCTCAAGAAGCATGACTCCATAACCAAACACATCAGTTTTCTCAGATGATTTACCAGTAGAAAGGTACTCAGGGGCTATATGACCGATTGTACCACGCACTGCTGTTGTCACATGTGTGTCTTTATAGTCCATGAGCTTTGCTAGTCCAAAATCTCCAACCACGGCTTCAAAGTCTTCATCCAACAATATATTTGCAGCTTTCACATCTCGGTGAATGATCTTTGGGTCACAATGGTCATGTAAATATGCAAGCCCCCTTGCTGATCCCAATGCAATACGCTGCCTCTTTGGCCAATCAAGTGGTGGCTGAGACTCCGGACGTTCTAAGAAGAAGATAATATATATAACCTTACTCATAGATCAATACTTAGAAATTGAGAGGGCAATGAATAAACTAGGAGATGAGTGATTACCTCTTAAACAGGAGGCAACGCTACCATTAGCCATATAGGGATAAACAAGCAATCTCTCTGTTGGAGTCATGCAAAAGCCACGAAGCCTAAGCAAGTTTCTATGAACAGCCATACTGATCATCTCAACTTCGGTCTGAAACTGCAGCTCACCACCTTGTGTCCGCTCCTCTTTCAGTCTCTTAACCGCCACTAAAGTACCATCAGCTAACCTTCCTTTATAAACTTTACCAAAACCACCTCTACCTAATATGTTCTTGTTGCTAAAATTATCTGAAGCAACTTGTAGTTCACGTAATGAAAACCTCTTGAGTTGTCCTAAATGAACCTCTGGGTCCTCTTCAGCTGCAATAAAAAAACAAAACATTCAGTAAGAGAAATGTCAATGAGAAAACAGGTAAATGGAAGTTTAGCTAATAACCTGGTACATCAAAGAAGTGGTCTTGTGGTTTTTTTCTTCTCCACAAAGCAAGTGCAATGGCTGGAACAGCGAATAGAAGTGCAGCACCTGCTGCAACTCCTCCAGCAATAGCTCCAGTGATTCTATTACTCCCTGCAGCTGATGGAGGTGTGGGAGAGAGAGGAGGCGGCGGAGAAGCAGGAAGTGGAGTTAACTTTGTGTTGGCAAAACTGTAGATTAACTTTCAAATAATCAATCAACAACCATTATGACATGTCCACAAAGATTTAGATTAGGAGTTAAGAAGCAAAAACCTGATAGGTGTGAAAAGTGAAAATGATCCATTAACTGGAATATCTCCAGTGAGTGGATTGTTTGAAAGATCCCTGCATTTCAAGATGATATCATCAGAAACATGAAGACAAAGGGATCTGGGAGAGACAAAGTTACACTTACAGAACTTGCAGGGAGGAGATAGCAGTCAAAGACCTTGGAATCTCTCCTGATAAGCTGTTGTTATTAAGACGCCTAAACACAAAAGACCATCACATGAATAGGCTGCTTATTAAAAAAAAAGGTATTAAAAGAAGAGAGGTGGGTGCATACAAGAAACGTAGTTTCTTTAGTCTGCCAAGAGATGATGGGATATGACCGCTTAGATTGTTCAAGTAAAGATCCAAGCTCACCAGTTCCGTTAAATTCCCAAGCTGTTCTGGGATAGTCCCAGTAATGTTATTACTATAAAGCTCCCTGTTATTCATTACACTTCCTTCCATATTAATTTCTACTTGATTAATTAAAAAAAAAGAGATAGACTTACAAGTACTGCAAGTTTGTGAGCTGACCAAGCTCCATTACAAGCCGACCAGATAGATTGGCATTCCCAAGGTCACTGCATCACCAGGATAAGATTCTTAGCAGATACAAAACCATTGAGATAGAGATAGAAAGAAAAACTTACACACGAACAACACTATTGTCAGGATTACAAGTAACATGAAACCATGTACATGGAGTAACAAGAGTAGAATCCCAACTTTGAAGCACCTTGTTAGGATCAGACAAACTGTTCTTCAGAGCACTCAAAGCATCACCTGATTCGTTTTTTTTTTATAACCCAAAAAAACAAAACAAGAATCAAAATCACTGTCGGAAACATTACAATCAAATTTTAGACCAAAGACAAAAAAAAAACAAAACATGTTTACACAAAAGTACCTAACTAACTCAAAGTCAACGCTCCAAAAATAAGCAAACAACAAATAAGCAACCAGCTTTTCATGAAATTTACAGGACAATGAGGGAAAATAAAATATAAAAATTAGACCTTTAAGTTATTTAAAAAAAAAAAAATTAGACCTTCGATGTTGCCTGATGTTTTGAGAACCAAGTCGAAAACCAGAATCAGCCATAAGAAACCAGGTATCATCATTCTTTCTTCAGATTGAAAACAAACCCTAGAAGAAGAATGCTCCTTTCATTTTTGATGATTTAAAGATCTTAATTGCTACTAGAAGAAACTTCAAGATCGTTGAGCGTTGACTCTTTTTTTCTTCGAATTGAGATTGAGAGGAAGAAGAGAGAGGAAGATGATTGATTCTTTCTCGAATATACTTTAAAAAAATGGAGACACAGAGGAGGAAGAAGGAATGAATAATTTAAAGTAATGGAACGGAAGAGAGAATTTTTTTTTTTTTTTTTTAACTTGCTTGAGAGTTGATACAGTGAAAAGGTAAAGATTTGAGGAGAAAATGACAAAAGAGATGATGACGTGGATTATTTGTCTGGTCAAAGTCAAACGCGCACGATTTCGAACTGGAATCATGTTCGCTATGTTCGTATCTGCGCATGATGGTGAATGGAGATGATGTGATACACAACATACCATCCAGTTATTAATTAATTTAACTCGTTGCTGTATAATTAAGCCTTGTTTCAAAAAGAGTGAGTCCAAATCGGCCCAGCTCAGTTTATATACAAGGCTCTGGATAAAACCTGTCCAGCTATTTGGATTTTCATGAAGCATTATAGTAGGGTTGCAAAATAATATCAACAATAATAGAGAAACTAGATCTCAACCCGTGCAACCGCGCGGGTATTTGTTTTTATTTATTTTTATATAAATATTTTTTATTTCTAAATGGGTATATATTATATAAGGTGTGTATATCGAAAATGATGATTAATTATTATATAGTATAGTTTAATTATTATTAGAAAATGATGATTTTGTTATTTTAAAAAATAAATTATATAATTTTTAAAGTTAACATCAAAATATATAAATAATTAACTTATACTATGACAATATTAAATTATATAAGTTTAATTTAAACATGTATTTATTATAATATCTATAAATCCAATGGATCATCTAATTTTTATTAGCCCAATAAAAAAATTAATAAGTCCAATAAATGTTATTAGTAAATCTAATGAATGTTATTAATGATTGAATAATGTAATGTTATGAATTCTATTAGATGGTCCATTTTAAAATATCACACATGAAGTAAAGTCATGACTTCTCTTTTAATATATAAGATATCTGGCTAGAAAACAAAGAAAATATGATCTAAGAGCATGATTAACCCTAAGAGTCTACTAGGAATTTTTTTTTTTTTTTTGTCTGATATACGAAAAAAATAAAAAACTAACTAATCACAGACTGTTACGTGTTAGTGGAATCCGTGAACATTATAAAAACTATACTAAACTTGGCTCCTGCAGAAAGAAAAAAAAGGATGAGTTTTTTAAAAAGTTTTGAGCCCCACCTCTTAAGAACTCACTTAAGACCACCTCCAACGCAGAAATGTGGGGAATCCTTATCATTAATCCTTAGGGTTAATTCAATATAATATTATTCTTTTGTCTAATAAATCTAA